TTTGTGCAAACATAATTTTTAAATTTCCTTGTGACTTTGAACAGCTGTTGAAGCATGAAATTTGTCTTAAGATTTCTTATACTTAAGACAGTTTGTGAAACATCAGTGACAAATCTTATGATTATCATAAGTCACATCTTGAGATAATCTTAAGATCTACCTTGGACATATCTTACGAAAGTTTAGTGAGACCCGGCCCTGGTTCATTTACTTTTCATGTCAGTCAATTTAGATTCAATCTTCCTTATCTATAACTGGCTTTTAATCAACGGAATTTCCCTAGATTTCAGAAAGATTAATTCATTGATTGTTTGATCAATGGGTTTCGTGTATGTTTTATTACGTGTATATTTTTATAGCTGTGCCAGCTGACGATGTCTCTGCATGAAGGGTCTTTTTTTAATTTTAAATAATACTGCTATTCAAAACAAAGTTATATATGTGTTTGGAATGTGTCCATTGACTCCAAGCAATATGTAGTCACGAAATGGAATAAAAGAAGCGAAAGTACACATGTAGGATATGAGTAGGACATTTAAATATGCTGGTTGAAACACAATCAATAGCAGGATATGATGTAGATTAATCGATTAAAATATTGATAGATAAAACTAGTACTCGACAGTCGGATATATATAAAACGAGATTGCAATTATGTACTTATATTACAGACATTGAACAATGACAAATAAACTCGTGATAATTTCAAGGTAGTATATTATGCATGTGACCTACTTAAAGGCGCATGTGACTATCAGGCATAGTGTAAAATCGGTTCTGCCTTAATTTAAAAGGTTTTATATTTCTATAGATACATTGAAATTGAAAAAAAAATGCATGGTCCTCGCAAATTTTATAGTTCAACTCTACTCTTGAAAGTATAAAATTACAGATTTAAGATTCTGAAACATTTACTTTAATTATTTCTGAAGGGGAAAAATTTCTAGTCGAAGAAAAAAATATTGCTTCCTTCGAGTGCGTAGAAAAGTACGTTACCATGGTCTAAAGCATTTTGCTTTACTATTTGATGAATTATATTTATGTAGATACACTGCACTTAGAACTCATGATGAATATTTACTGCATTTTGTCTGTATTAAAAAATACATGTATGGTTGCTTATCCCATATTATTAAATTATTTAATGTCAGCCGATTTAGAGGAATTACTAGTATTATTATTTTATTATTATTCTGAAAAAAGTATACATCCTGAAGATCGATCTACAACTCGCCGATTCTACTAAGTTGAGGCACAATACAGTAGAAGTAGTAGAATTTTATTTGATATTCACACTTTCATTAATCAGTCTTTGTGCTATTGAAATATGTCATTGTGTTCGAATGTTTCAAGCATTCCTGTTTTGCACTCAATCTCATGTGATAATTAGGTATAGAACGATAGGTATGAATTATGTTTTTAGAACAATTTTAATGAACATTTTACCTAAATTTACCTGTATTTTACCAATGTATTGATAAGAAAAAGAAAGAAGAGAAAAAGAATGCACTAATGAATAAATAAATGAAAAATTATGCTATGTAAAGAATTTCAAACACATCAAAGAATTAACTGAAAAAATGATGAATACTATGATACATGTTCTTAAGGTTTGCTCACAAAATAAAAAAAGAAGTGATGAAGTTTTCATTTTGGAATACGACAATATACATTGTAGTATGATACATGATCAGTTAAGGAATAATGCAAATAAATGAATAAATGCTTTTTTATAAAAAAATAAAAACTTATCTTCTCCATCCAAAGTCATTTAGATGCTGTGGAAATCTGATGATGAAGAATACTTTTATTAATCTAGATATAAAGTTAATATGACTTTAATTCGTAATCTTTCCCTTTATATAGCTTCACTTTTCCAATACTCTCAACTATGATATATAGACTATAGCAATTAAGTAATCATCTTAGCTGGATAAATAAATTCAGGTTTTGCACACATTTTTCTATACCCGAATTTCAAATTTGTGCAAAAAACTCGATAAAATGACTTTATAATGATTACAGGGTTTCTTTATCATGTCTTTTTAAGTCGGATGAGACATTTAAGTTTTGTCTACATTTTTGTACCTTTACCTGTTTGTCACGTATATTATCTTCCAGTCACAAATCCTGGACATTAGAATGCAATGAGATTAAGCTTCAGTATATCATTGACATGATAAAAAAAGTTGTCAAAAACTACTGAAGGCCATTTATATAAGGTCAAAGATCGCTGCGCAATGACATGGTAGAATAGCGTCTGTGATTAAAATATATTTAAACTTAATTTGGTTGTTGCTGGTGATTTCATGATCAAGATAAGACTGGTGCAAAATTATATATCAAAGGTCAAAGTCTTGACTTCAAGGACAAAAATGAAGTGCAATTCAGTGAGGACACATCCGTTTTTGTAAAACCCAATAAACCAATCTTGTATTTAATAACTAAACCTGTAAAATTTAAATTAAAAACAAAAGATTAATTAATAAATTAAAGATGTTAGCTGATATGTTTTTTCTTCTTTTCATTTTTCTTTTTCAAAGTGCATATGCCATGTTGTATATTGTGATTTGAGATCAATACAGTTGAAAGAAAATGACACATTTTATTTTTCGGTCAATCTTACAAAATGAATTGATTTTTATGAGATACACATTTTATTTATGGGTAGTAAACAAATACGTTCGGTAGATTCCTTACAAAACATTTATAAATTGATATAACGTATTACGTTAGAAAAATGATAATAATAATAAAAAAAATAATTGGCCACTGAATAAATAATTAGAGTAAGATACATTCAGGAAACTGGGATTGTAGTATGTAAAAGGTAAAGATAACGACCAGTGATCGATCTCAAAAACTCCAAAAACAATACAAATATGTGAAGAGTATGAAACATGGAAATACCAGAGGTAGGATCAGGTGCCTAGGAGTAAGCATCCCCTGACACCTGTCGCATAATATTTGGTCCGCCTTGTTTAAAGGTCCGGGGGGACCTAATGCGATAACATATAAGGTCCGGCTGGGGAAAAACAAACACAAGCCCAATAAATGGGACATTTAAAAAAAAAAATAATTGTCCTAAATGGCATTGCTAAAAGCACACTAACATGTAGTAGGAATTCCTGCCCTAAGAGATATATTGTACAAAAAAAAAAAAAAAAAAAAAAAAAAAAAAAAAAAAAATAAACACAACAGCTAGGGTAAATCCTTCTTTCTACATATGATGTAAACAAACTCTCTTTAATTTTATGTGTTTAAGTCAAGATTAAAACATTTTACACCACCCGGACCTTAAAACTTCGGCGGACCTTTTCTTATACGGACCGGACCTTTTCTTATAAAAGGCGGACCTTATATGTTATCGTAATAGGTCCCCCGGACCTTTAAACGAGGCGGACCAAATATTATGCGACACCGGTCACACCCGCCGCGAGCTCTATGTATTGATCAGGTAGACAGAACTCTCCGTATATTAGCAGTACAAAAACAAGTTAAAAGCCTAACAATTGGTATGAAACAAGTCAGCCAAAATACGACGCGATGATACAATGAAGCGCATTGAAGTGATAAAATGTTTCGTTGGAATGGAAAGTGTGGGTCTTTCTTATCGAAGGTCAATTGTTACATAATGACACGCCCATTTCCTTAGAAACGAGAAAGAAATATTCGTCGTAATGCTTAAAGAATCCCCACTCTCTGCGACTAGCAACATGAATTACACTGAAGTTGAGATTTTATGAAGTTAAGAGAGAGAATCAGAGATTCTCTGCTTCTTTAAAACACGTATTGCATATCTACAAAATCATGGATTTATCATGTTTATTTGAGTTACCACAACACATGTATCGGTCGAGCACGTGTTTACTCGGTGTTTATGTTGACCGTCATTTGATTGGCTATTGTATTTATGGAATACCCGAATAGGTATTTGAATGAACAATTTGACCCCTTTTTTCTTTCTTAAGAAATGGGCGTGTCATTATATGACAATCAACGTTTCAAAGAAAGCTCAAACGTTCCATTCAAACCGAAATTTTTGCCACTTCAATGCGCTTCATTGCAGGTTATATTTGCCAACAAGGTCATTATAACGACCATAAAATTTACAAAAAGCTGACTTTAAACGAGGCTGTAACATCCACTTGTCTGTAAGTAGCCTGCTTTATAAAGAGATTTTTCATAACTTTGATACATGTATATATGTATGTCTATATGTAAACAAATGAACCCATAAGTGCATAAATCCCGCTTACTACTGTCCTGTTTAAATATTATTTCAGTGTACACAATATTGTTATCTGTATAACCTGTGGGGGAAAAGTTTATTAAGTATATCTATTAACCAAACTTAACATACTGATTTACAGGATTTTATGTACAAGTTATTATGGTTGGATAACTTTCACATTTAGAACAAGTCTGCATTTGAAGCCTAACATTCAAAACGAATATTCATTGATTTTCTAAAATATAAAAACGGGATTAGGAAAGGAAATTGGAAAGTTTCTTAAGGCAGGACTATATACATGTTTTCGATACACAGGAAAAGACCCCAGGTAGGAAAAAAGTCAGCGCGGATTGGAAGCGCGAAAAAATTGACCAACCATGGCCAGCAATAAACGAATACAGGTAGAATATTTTTTATTCGCATGCGCAAGATTTACATAAATTATTTAAACTTCCTTGACGGTATTTAAAACCCCCCAACTTTGGAACTGCGCTTGAGTGTGTAAGTGATATAACCCCGTATATTATAGGAAATTTAATATTTGTGTTTTTCATTGGTTGTTATTATTGAATTTTTGTGAGAGATTTTCAGGATCGACATTTTTAATGTTATTTCGAAATAGAATGATGAAATTGATATTTGTGCTGATTTTTTCAACTGACTCAGACAAGGAAGGTTTCATCATCATCGATAGCGACTATACATGTATTGGCCAATAACCTGCATGAATAATATATCATCCGTTTTAGTAATCGTTTTTTTTTACATTACGCCATGTTCAAACAAGTGAGATAGGCAGTCATGTTCAAAGTAAGGGACACCTTATGCGCATTTGATAATGTTACCAGATGGAATAAAGAAAAGAGCCTGTTTAATTGTTCTAGTACCATAAATGTCTACCACTGTATTGTTGACGAGAGGAATAGGTCCGGAGAGATTTGTATACAGTCTGTGTGGGTTCAACAAGGTATACTTTATTGCATAATTTTCTATATATAGTTTCAGTTATTATAAAGCATGTAAAAACTTGTTTTGGTAATATGAGATATATATGTACAACTTTGACCTTTAAGGTATATCAAATTCGCAGGTAAATTATAAACAAATCGATTAAATCTTGGGAGAAAACTCACCAGGCAATAAATTAGGCATAGAAAAAAAGACATGTTTGTTTCCGCTTCCCGACCGACACTTATTAATAGCCTCTACATTTACTTCTTTTAAACTTTTTTTTTAAGTGAAGATCTGGATTTTCTGTTTTTGTTCAATGTAATTTATGTAGTCGCAGAAACTCGCAGAAATGCTCTAAATCACTTTTTCTTTTGTCATCAGTCAAAAGTAACACATCTTAATGTGTTAAAATAATCTATCAGTGCGTGACATGTTTGACGTCTATACATTACTGTATAGAGAATACCATTTAACTTATAAGGTTTACAATGGACGTATTTGTTCTGAACAGAAAATGTTGCAACATCTTTATGCTTGACTGACAGAGAGTCATTATCACAGTAATAGCTGTATAAAAATCGATTCACTGTTTCATATTTTGTTCACGTGACGTTGTTAAATTGCTAATACATGTATCTAGCTTTTTTTGCCTTTTAATACAAATCTCACAACTATCATAGTGAGGAAGTGAATGCCATACGATATGTGTAACATCATTATGTCACTTAAAGTATCCACAAAAAAGTACTCTCAATCGATCTAAAGGATCACTGCACTTAAGCTATGAGAGTTGGATCCCGGTGCTTTGCCAATAATAAATTTCCGAAATTTATAAATTTTTTGAATCAGAATTATTTAACAATATCTTAAGAGCAGGGTTTGATATATTATATCACATAAAAATATTAAATAATGCCGAGCGACAGTGGTTTTTGCGACAGGGGTCTAGCAGTTTTGTCACATGTCTATTGTTATTCATATGCATACCAGTTTTCAACGACATTGTTTACATCGAGCCGCAACTTGTCCATTCGTCTCATTTGCACAGAATGTGTATTTTGATTTAAACTTATACATATCCAAAGGGCAATGTTGGACAATTTGCGGCTCATATGTAATTTTCAAAAAAATTCTCCAAACTACGCTCGGGTTAGCTACTAAATTAATAGGTCACCGAGTGTCAACCTATTTTGACTTGTTTGATATTATAATCACTTTACTCACGTGACGTTCCACTGTCCCAGATAGCAAGCTTACGTTGGGCCAATGCAAGCCCAACGGTGAAAATTGCGTTGGCCCTCTGTCAGTTTTATGCGTTGGCCCAACATCATCTTGCTCATCGGCCCTACGTTCAACCAACATGTTGGCTCGACGTTGGGCCAACAGTCGATGGTTGGTTATCTGGCATTGGCCCAACAATGGCCCAACGTTTAACTTCCTGTTGGCCCAATGTTGGTTCAATGTTTTTTTTAAAGCTAAGAATGAATGTTGGACCAACGTTGGCCCTACGTTCTATAAACATGTTGGCAAATGATCGGCGATTGAATTATTTTAGTTCAACAATATGAATTCCCGTAACCTTTTTATTTCCATAATTACAAGTAAAACACAATTGATTGAATAAATCCTGCATGGTTAACTATCTTGTTCCTCAAACAAATGTTCTATTTTTTTTGTCACTCCTATGGAATGAAATCAACAGAGGGAAACAAAGGTAGTTCAATGTTTCCTTGAGTCTATCCCATATCACTTCAGTCACTACATAATATTCCTCTAGAATAAGAGTCCCAGTGTTCAAATTTGTGAAACTTTGGAATGTTCTCCTGCCCATATTACTTCTGAACCATTCACTCCTTTTTTCCTGTTCATGTTATTGTTTCTTTGTAAAATCCATGTCTCTCACACTGATAATTGAGATAAATCACTCACTGTCTATTACATTCCAAACATCAATGGTAACACAAAGGGTTTTCTCCCCACCAGATGCTATAAATGATATGAAAAATATATCAGTTTAATCCGTTCAAAAATGATGTCACTTACTACTTATAAGTTATAACTTAAAGAGATTACTAGTAAATATACATGCATATTTTGAAAATTGCAATTCTTGAATAACTTGTTCAATTTTACAAACTATGCTCAAGTTAAAACTTTCACAGAGATAAAATTCTAACAATCACACCTAAAACGACTATATACTTACATTTCAAGGGCTAAAACAATCCATTTTCTCAGTCTTGCGATAACGGACACGCACATGTATATGCTTTGTTCAAGTGTTGCAAGTGATAAGGTGTGACCACTCCAAGTTTACGAAACAGAGCTGATTAGGATGCCTGTTTCCTAGGAACCGGCCAGTCACCTGCTGAGCCAGTGGATTTCACCACTGACCTAATTATTTGGAGCTCTAAAATTCAGCACTTTAAGTTCCATGATGCTAAATATAGAATCTACAAAATTGTATACTGTGCAGAATAATTAAAACTTCTACATGTATTTGCAATTGTCTCGGACACAAATTACAAACAATAATTAGTATTAAAAATCTTATTTTCATAAATTAGGTTCTTGAATAATTTTTCATTTTTATTAACACATACACTGTAAATTATTAATAAATGGGCTATTAAGATAATCCATTGTTCATAATATTTTAACGAAAGATGAGATGTCTCTATTGAAAGAAGCTTAATTGGTTCTAAAAGATACAAATTTAATGTGTAATTAACAGATCACCAACATGTTTGTTAATGAAAGTTGATTTTATCCCAATATTCACTCCGTTGAACCAACGCTGGGCCAACGTTGAAAGCTATATCAATACCTCATTATAATCAAAATTTACTACGTTGGGCCAACATTGGACCAACATTACATGCCCAACACACATTTCATGTGTTTCATGTCAACATTACTTGGTTGGCCCTATGTTGGGCCAACATTACATCCCAACACACAGTGGATTTGTTTTAAGCCAACATCTACTTGGTTGGACCTACGTTGGGCCAACATCAAATGCCCAACATATAATGGTCATGTTTCATGCCAACATTTACCACAATGGACCAACAATGGCCCAACATCACATACCCAACACCGATGGACCAGCTTTCACGCCAACATATCATCCGTTGGGCCAATGTTGGGCCAACATTTACCGCCCAACGCCAACACTATACCAACCTACCAACCATCAACCAACGTTGGCCCGATGTAGTCTTGCTATCTGGGGTTCGATTTGCTTTCATTGTGTCTATCAATAGACTTCAGGGCTGTACACATGGATGTGTATTTAAGTACAAAATCTGACTATGTATAGACTTTTAATACGGTGAATCCTAAGATTTTTCGAATCTTATAAAACTGTATTAAGAATAGGGCAATGCTCTATTTCTTAATACAAGTCTTAACTTACCTTTCATTTTTAAACCAATCAAAAGTACTCACATTGTGGTCATCCTATTTTTATCATAACAAAAAAAATAGCACGTGGTAAATAATGGTCGACTTTAGCAGTAAAAATATCGAAAAACTCATTGTTTTATGGGAAGAGGATCAAAAGGAGTAACTACATGTAATTGTAAAAGTTGCTCAAATGCAGCGTTATCTATTCTTAAGAAGTTTTTAAACTACTGGGGTCTTCTCTTTGCACCTCATCTAGCGATGCATTGTGTGCACCAAGTACATATACGAGTGTACCGCCGCTGTTTCCATTACGATGTTTTTTTTCAGTTTTATTGTAATGCTTAATACGATAACATATACTGCTAACAGAATGTGGTTTTCCATTATTGAGAGAGAGAGGGAGAGAAATATTGCGAGGGAAACACGTAGAAATCCCTAAGTCTATTAACAATCAAATAAAACGTATAAACGTGTGTACAGGAAATTATTATAATACAAATACAGCGTATAATACTTGTATTATACAGTAACTACAAATCTCACCGTTTGTACCGGCCTGAACAACTTCAAAATAATGAAGAATTTTGCGAAAATTTTATTAGGGTCTTAAAGTTTACCTTGTCTTCTTTCACTAAATTGTGTTTTTCGTTTGGTATTTTGAAGGAAATTCTGGTACTGCCAGTGCAAATCAAGTGCACGATTAGTATGTAGCTGTGTTAGCTCGTGTCGCCTCTGTATTATGGTCTGCAGGCATCTACAGACGCATCCCTAAACACTAGTATCATACCTGACAATATTTGGATTGCCGAAATGAAAGAGATATTGAAGACATAAGCGAGTGATTATCAATATAGTAACGTTGTAGAATTTTCGTTGACCATTTTTTTTAATCTGAAATATACTTGTTCCATCAATAAAATGTTAATTTAAATTATGCACAGATAGTTTGTATTTCTTGAAGTTTTCATGTTAACCTAGCGACTCAAATTTTAAGTTAAAATTTTATATTTCATTTCCGAATGTTATTTATCTATACATGCATATAATAAAATATGTATCACCGTGAGTACTACATACATGTATAATTTGTTTCACTACACGTTTGTATTACTCTACGTACTATATGTACAATGAATTACGATTAAATGTAGTGTGACATCGAAGTCATGTACATGTGAATCTTTCTTAAAACATACATTCATTCTTTGAATTGAAAAGCATTCAGCATATAAAAACGAAAAATGATGAAGCTAAAGAAAAAAGAGGGGGCATTTTTTATCATATACGAAACCTTAAGATTGATCTAATTCGGTGCTAGGCATCAAACATATGGTTACGAATCATGAAAATGATCAATATGTATGGCCATGAATCATTTATTATTTGTGTGAATCATGAAACTACACAATCTTTCTCTCCCCCATTTAAATTCATACTATAGAATCAATCTGGAAATAATGTGCAAATGTTTACATTCCACTTCCATGCGATTTAAATATCTCCGCCCATTTGCGGGTACCTTAAATTCGAAAGTGGTCCAGTTCAAATTTCCGAAATTTAAGGCTTATACATGTTCTTTTCAATGACGTTGTGTGGAATTATAGCAATATGTTTAATAAAAAATTCGAAGTATAAATATCAAAAGCATATGTATGCACAATAATCATAGATTAATTTAGCAATATAGTCTAATTTAAGGCTTAAAATGGGTTGGCCGAAAAGGCTCCAAATGACACTCTAAAGTGCACTCATTCTTTAAAAACCTTTCAAATGCAGAGAGCTGTTTGCTAAAATATTTATTTACGTAGGTGATAATATATTGCGATTTTATAATGTTTTGACATTGTTAAGAGTGTCGTTTAGCAGTATGTCTACCTTGTGAATTTTGAATATCAAATACAAATAAATCAATTTTACCTGTACAGGTTACTGTCCAGAGTACAACAATGACGCCAACACAGTAGACACCGTCCCCTGTGACTGGTCATACGGGTGTCCCAATGTAGCTTTTCAGTCTAACGACGTCTATCAATGTAAGTATTCATGGTTATAGGAGTAAGGGGTGCGTGTCCCATTTTGGCAGCTTTATGTAATATTTTGCGATAATCAATAGTCTGTGCAACTGAGCTATTTTGCCTGTGATACTCAGAGCTATTGAAAGTCACGTGACCTAACGAGTGCTCAGTTCGTTTTTGTCATTGTTATAATTATATGCGTGCTTTGATGACTTCAGATCACACGTCTCACACTTTAATGTCTCATAGGCAATGATATACAAGTCGAAGTCAATAATTTTGGACCATGAACAACATATATTCAATAATTTACGTTGCTGACCAATGCCCTAGACATTTTCGATAATGATTCAGGCGTGTAATCAAGGCCATACTGTAATAGCAAGGGGTCATTGGAGGAAAATACATACGACACTGTGAAAAACCTCTGTTACTAATTTTTTTGTTTTGTTTTGACATTAAGTGTGTTAAATGTAAAGCTTCTTGTAAATTGATTCACTTCTTTCACATTTTAATTGTAACTTTCAACAACTTGGAATAATTAACTAAGGTATTTATGTCAATATTATTATAATATACTTAACCAGACTTAATCAAGTTTACATACTGTAGAAAAAAAATGCGGAATTACTTACCTTATGTTTAAATATAATTTTATGTGTGTGTGCTTTTATGTGTATTTATATTGTTTTGTTTTTTTTCAGATCCGGTTTGTTTAAATAAAACGTATTATGACAAGTAAGTCAAGCTGTCTAAATGCACTTATTTATAACAAGGAAATGTGGAAACCATCAATTTAAATATCAATCTTATACTCTGGGTGGCAAAAGTAACTAACAATTTGCAAAATGCAGTCTTTAGATAAGATACTTGAAAACCCTATAACATTGACTTATTTGTCATTGTTCTGTCTCAGTTTCCGGATCCAAAACCGATCGTACTAAGAAAATTCTTTTGAGTATCCAATCAATGGGATACCTAAATACCATATGCAGACGATGATGGAATATTACTACATACAGTATATGGCCATAGGTGATTCAGAATTTTAATACTACTTGTATAAATTTCATTGAAATGGCAATTTTTATAAACAGTTATGGTGAGGTCGATTATAGCCCATTTATGATTTTTTTTACTGAATTATGCAGAATTTTCAGATTTTCTTGTCTAAGATGCTTAAAGATGCGCTGCTAAATAATACTCTAATCATTGAGAACTAAAAAATATCATGACTGAATTTATAACCTTGAATTTGAGTCGTAAAGTTTGGATTTCGCATTTGGCACTAAATTACATAGAGGCTTTAAGGTCAAATTATTTGGAGAAACTGAAAAAATATTCTTCGTCTTTACATATATTTTAATCAGAAAAATGGAGCAACGAATAACACTAAGTTTTATCAAAGGCATTTTTCACTAAAATATATAGTGAAAAAATAAAATTGTGATTTACTTATGACTAAGAATATTACATGTATAAAAAAGAAAAGAAAAGAAAGTTGACGATTGAAAATGTAAGTCATCCAGTTTGTCAAAATGGTTAGTTATTAGTTGAGCATTTACGTCTATAATCGGTAATACATCCAAGGAAGAAGCAGACGTGACAGACTGTGTTTTTTTAAACGAATTTCGGGATATATCGAGTTGACATATGTCTTACGACTTTTCAACTTTATAAACAACCATTCCCCACGATAAATTAAAGTCCAGGCTTTTTGATATCATTTACAGCGGCTTTTTCAATAAAAATGGAACTCGTAAATTTACTTACCTTGTCATTGGTCATTTGCAAAATTGTTTTGTTAAAAAACATTCTGATTGTACACACAAGTACTCTGAAGTTGACATTAAAATGATGCTTGAGTTTCTGATTGACAATATCTATGTGTTTTTTGGAGACCAGGTCTTCCAACAATCTATTGGAATTCCCATGGGTACCAATTGCGCCCCGTTATTAGCAGACCTTTTTTGTATTCATATGAAGCAGAATTTGTCCAAAATTTTGTACGCGAAAAGAAGAAAACACTTGCTGTGGCCTTCAACTCGACATTTAGATATATCGACGACGTATTGTCAATTAACAATGGCTATTTCCATTCTTATGTCGACACGATATATCATGGTGAGCTTGAGATAAAAGATACCACAGAGTCTGACACATCTGTTTCATATTTGGATATTTTACTTGAAAAAGACGTTAATGGTAATCTAACAACCAAGCTTTATGATAAACGTGATGACTTTAACTTTTCAATCGGCAACTTCCCTTACTTATGCAGCAATATACCTTCATCACCTGCGTACGGGGTATATATCTCTCAGTTGATTCGATACGCAAGAGCATGCTCTACGTATATACAATTTCTAAAACGAGGTAAGTTTTTGACAAACAAGTTGATGAAACAAGAATATCAGCTGTCTCGTTTAAAGTCATCATTTTGTAAGTTCTATGTTCGATATAATGACCTTGTCAGCAAATACAATTTATCATTGAGTCAAATGCTGACTGACGTTTTTCATACTAATTGTGAGGCCATTATTCACACACTGAATTGTCGACGGATTTTTCCGTTTTTTCCCGATCATGACAAGGAGCACACGGCGGGTGTGACCGGTCGGCAGGGGACGCTCGCTCCACCATGGCACCATCCCACCTCTGATGTTTGGAGGTCCGTGTTTTCTCTGCTCCTATTTTGTATTGTTTAAACGGCTTTTGAGCTTGAATACTGTTCGTTATCTCCATATATTTCATGAATCAAAATTATTATTTATCGATAAAAAGTGATCGATATGTCGAAATGTTGAATAGGTTTGAGTTATAAATACAATGTATCTATAATGTATATAATTGAAGTTAGTACGTTATATATAGCCTCTTTTAAAATGAACTGAGGAAAAAACATTTCAATTAATCCAAAAAAAGGAGAGAGAGAGAGAGAGATTTTGTCTTTTGATTAAAAAAAAAATTCAGTGTTTTTCCTATGAAGTATTTTCCCCTTTGTTATTCCCCTTGGCCAGCATCATGGAATTTTTCTCTTTGAGCAACAAAGTATAAACAAGTATGGCAGAAATACTTCGCAATATTGAAATCAAAACTTAAAACACGCCTTAATAAACGTATGTGTCCATCAGAAAAACAATGTTATCTATTTCTCTATGCTCTTGCTTAAATCGCTTCTTTGGAAAACTATATTTTAATTAAACTGTATTTATTTTTGCCGCTCATTTTATTTAAATGAGAAATTAATTATTTTGACACAATTCTTTGTTTGTTCAATCAGTTGTGTTTTTTTCCTTCTCTCTATTCAAGGTCTGTGTATGCTGGCGATACCTCATCTCTACCGTGGCATATTATAGGCGTGACAGTTGGAATTACTGTCCTCCTTGTTGTTCTCACTGTTGTAGCTCTTCTCTATTACAGAATGAGAAAAACTCGTAAGCACATGTTTGATTATATACTTTCTTATAACGACATTTGAAATGGATAAAGAGAATCAAGCTATCATAAAATTTATATAATGCCTCAATATATGAAAGCATTCAAAAAGTTACCATACAGTTTTGATCCATAAAGTAGATCCATAAAGTTGCAATTGTTCTGTTTGTAAATCGCGGAAGCTAATACTTTTTTTCTGACTTTCAATCAAGATTTCCTCATAAGTAAAATTTTTTTTCGTTTAAAATCACATGATTATTTTTCTCATACAAGAGAGCTTTTATTTGAAGAGTAAATTGGAAAATGAAGATAACATTGGAACATAATTATATTTAATCTGAGTATCTTTGATTGAAATTATCTACAAGGATTTGTGTTCTAGAGAAAACCACAAATGGAGAAAATGAACAGATTCCTTTATTAAAGAAAGGTAAAATTTTGTGTTTAAAATATATGCAATGTAATGAAGTCAAATTATACAGTTTCCAAATAGTTCAGTAACATTTTATCTTTAAAATATTTTTTCTAGAGATACCGTTTTACAAAACTTCTACCTTCCACGAGGCAAATAATTTTCTCAAAGATGGTGGAAAATTTTTATGTTTAATTGGACAGTGGGGTTCGGGGAAATCGACAACAGCTAAAGAAGTTTATATTTCCCTCACTGGAAAGAAACCAATTGTAATAGAGGACATATTGAAGTTTGATGTGAGTACTTGTCAGGAATCTGTCATCGTAGAGGAACCATTACCCAGAGAGGATATTTCTGACATAGAAAAAAAAAATTCTGTAGAAAAAATCGTTTCATTATGCAATCATATACGGAAAACAAATCAAACATTTATGATTATTACATCAACTGAGGAAGCTTGGGAAACAATTGCAAATGAAATAAAGAACTGTGACTTTGATGAAAATGAATATCGCTGTATTGATCTGAATTGGAAGAATTTATCAAAAGGAGATAGGATTCAAATCTTTCACACCATCTTCCAGTATTACAATCCAGATAAACCATTCTCTAAAGTAGAACACATTGTTTCAAGAGTTAACATTTCTAATGTTGGATTCCCGGAAATCTGCACATTGTTTTCTAAATGCAGCGAATTTCAGAAAGCAGATAATGTTGTATTCTTCAATAGACCACTGCGAAAGTTAAGTTTACGTCTTGGAAAAATGTGTCAAATTTCAAATGAAAAAGAAAAATTTCTTTTACTAGTATATATGAGTTTGAATGAAATGAAAATAGATATACACAAGTCAAACCACAAACTATGGGAAATATTCATATCATGTGGTCTAAATACCGGCAGTGTACAACTAAAGTCAATTATACCATGGGATTTTATCGTGAAAGAAGAGCCGTCAGTCTATGTGTTACAACACGAAATTATTCAAAGAATAACACTCATAACATTTGGAAAGTTATATTTCTCAGATTTACTTCGGTTTTCATCACGGAAAGATCTGGAAGGCTGGATAAAACACAAGAAGAGAACATTCAAAGTCAAAGAAATATTGCAGGACGGTGCCAAAGTAACCTCGGAAATAGAGCCATTTCTTGAAATTAATGATGAGCAATGGATGGAATACCAGGAAAAAATGGGAAAGACAATTCAAGAAAAAAGTGAGAAAAGTGAATATTAAATAAAATAGAAAAATAATACTGACGTCTTAAATATTAATAAAAGTTGGGGTGTATAATTTTTTATTTGCTGGTAAACAATATCCAAGTGTAAAACAAGGTTATATATCTATAATTTAGGTCAAACAGTGAATAAGTAATCCTTGACACAAAGAAGATGTTATGCTTTTAAGTGTTTATTCCCTATGCATTTACCTATTGTCATTTTCTTTATATAACAATTAAAAGTATTTAAGAAATATTCTCTAGTTTCTATCGATGTTGGCTTGTAGTTTGCTATTGTAATCCATATGGCAGTTGTTTTTATTCAGAGGATCCTGCAGTTTCATTTCGAAGTGGAAATTATATTGCAGTGTTAGTAAAATCCCAAACAATTATATATGAATGTAGATTATTTGATTTTTTAAATACATCTTGTTATTGATTTACCACATTTTGCTGAGTACATTTCATTTCTAGCATATATTTTAACATAGATTTAAAATTACACTTACAGAGAAGAAATAAGCAAATGATGGCTTAGACGAAGACCCCAATGATCCATTTCATGAAAACTCTTTTACATATTAAATAAATATCTTTATGTTCCATTGATTGCATAAATACCTTGCTGAGTTGAAGAGCCTGTTTTTTGACTAGATAGGCAGAACCAGTA